CCCCACCCGCGGCCTGGCCGGCCCCGCGTGGCGCTCACGCAGCTGCTCTCCCCGCAGAGCCCGGCCCTGCTGGCCTCCCTGGGCGTGGGGCTGCTCTCTCTCCTCGGCCTGGCCCTGGGCGCCTACGTGGTGCGGAGGTCCCGCCGGCCGCTGGTCACGCTCCTGGATCCCGAGGAGAAGTACCTGCTGCGACTGCTAGACAAGACGGTAAGCTGTGGAAAGGGGGCCCCGGGCGGGCGGGGGACACAGTGGTAGGGGTGTCCCTGGGACCTGCCAGGGCCCGATCCGCTTGAAACACTCCTGTTATCCGTCCTCCAGACCGTGAGCCACAACACCAAGAAGTTCCGCTTTGCCCTGCCCACCGCCCACCACGTTCTGGGGCTGCCTGTGGGTAAGGAGGAGTGGAGGGGGCTCCTGTTCCTGCTCTGTTGGGAGGGCAGGAGGACCCCGGGGGTGTGTGGAGACTTGCTGCTTCAGCCTCTGTCCTCCACACCTACTGCCCTGCCCTCCCTTGGCTCAGGATTCTACAGGCTTGTGGGATGCCACTGGGACCGTATTTTAGGGTGTGGCTCCTGGGCCACTGTTAGCACCTGGCAGCCTTCCATCATTCATTTCTGTAGAACTTGTTCATAAGTGCCTCTTAGCAGATACTTCTGCCCCACACACACTGCCCAGATTTTTTTTCCCCTTTGGCTCATGTGGTACTACCAAAGTTCCTGGCAGTGCTTGGCAGAAATCTGGGCAGAGAGATCATGCCCAGTGCTCTAAGGGGCGTAAACTCCCTGCCTAGCTCCTGCTAGGCACCACCGCAGGAAGTCATCCTGTTCTCTTTAACCTCTCTGAATATTTGGAAAGGATAAAGCCCTTATATAGTTCTCTACTGTGGTCCCCAGGCAAACATGTCTACCTCTCTGCAAGAATCGATGGCAGCCTAGTCATCAGACCATACACTCCTGTCACCAGTGATGAAGACCAAGGCTATGTGGATCTTGTCATCAAGGTAAGGGTACAGGATGGGATGCCAGAGGCTCCCTATCCCATTCTTCGGGGATTTTAGATTTATTTGATAGCAAGAGATAATTGTGTCCTTTAGGAAGCATGGCTGTGACCCCTGCTTCAACCTCTTGAGACATCCCACCTAGAGTATTCTCTTCCTTTCTGCCTTATTAGGTGTACCTGAAGGGTGTTCACCCCAAGTTTCCTGAGGGAGGGAAAATGTCTCAGTATTTGGATAGTCTGAAGATTGGGGACATGGTGGAGTTCCGGGGCCCAAGTGGCTTGCTCACTTACACTGGAAAAGGTATTGTCCGGGCTTTCCCTTGATTTTCTTTCCTTTTCTTTTTCTTGTGCCCATTTTGGGGCTTGAATTCAGCACTGTGTGCTGGTACTTGCCTTCCTGCTTGGGTTTTTGTTGTTGTTGTTTTCTCAAAGCTGGTGCCCTACCACGTGAGCCATACCTCCACTCTCTTTTCCTTCTTCTAGTTCTCTAGTTCCCATGGTCTTGGCAGTTTTGCCCTGCATGTGCATAAGGGACAAAGCTACCCTTCCTTCTCAATAGCACTGATGCTACAGGAAGTCGTTCCTCAGCCCCATTTGTCCCTAGACACGGTTCCCCTTCCACCTGAATTCACCAACCGTGACAATTAGCTGTGACAATTACTGAAGCAAACTCCATCTCTCTGTCTCTCAAAGATTCACCCCATTGATTCAACTGTGGGGAGTCAGAAGAGACAGCTTTTAGCCCTTCCCATGGGAAGAGCTGGGCGCATTAGCAAGCCCCTGGAGCTCTTCTGTACCACTAGGGAAACTAAATTCACACAGGTCTCGTGCCTGCCATTCTAATCAGTGCCAGAAGCCACTGATATTCCCTGTGTGGCCCTGGACTACTAGTGGATGGATAGATAGCCCTTGCCCCCATTGCCCCTCCTGTGCATTATTGCCAGGTCTGGCAATTAAACCTCCACCAAGTTCCAGGATCAGATTTCATAAGCAACTGCTAAACTGGTCTCGGGTGTGTTTTCAATTCTGCATTTGTTTACTTAGTTTCCTTTTTTGACTTTGTTCTTCTACCCTTCCCTTTACATGACTCCTCAGGGAATTTTAACATTCAGCCCAACAAGAAATCTCCACCAGAATCACGAGTGGCAAAAAAACTGGGAATGATTGCTGGAGGGACAGGTATGAATCCCCTAAAGAGCTGTTCTCATCCACCCTTGTTGGTTGTTGCCTTACTGATCTTGGTGACTTGCAGAAGATTTGGTTATCTAGCTAAGCTGTTCATCAGGGCATTTCCAACAGTGCTTAGACCTACCCAGTGGCTGAAATTATAAACAAGTAGAAAAACAAATTGCTGCTAAAATGAGAGCAATAGGTCTAATAATTTTTAGATGAACATAGAGAGAAACAGCCAAGAATGACTAGTAAGAAGCAAGAAAATTAGCACTGGACATTACTATATTAGACACATTTCTATAGTTACGAAGTAGGTACATCTTTCCTTGCTATAAATTATGATGCAAAAAGTTAAATGGCTTCCACAGGGTTATTTAATTGGTAATGGCTAGGACTCGAATCTGACTCTACCTGATTCCAAAATACATGCCCTCAACCTCTACAAGAAGCCTTCCAAAACCCTCATCATTGAATCAAAAGGTACATGTGGTCATCTATGACAGTTGAATTCCCAACCTCTAAGGACTTTAAGAGGAAGATTTTCGGACTGGATTCAGGATTTTCTCAATATGAACTTATGTGAATATTGAGAATATCCAGTCAGGTGATGGTGGCTCATACCTGTCATTCAGCTATTTGGGAGGCTGAGATCTGAGGATCATACTTTGAAGCTAGTCTAGGTAGGAAAGTCAGTGAGACTCTTATCTCCAAAAAGCCAGAAATGGGGCTGTTTCCCAATTGATAGAGTACTAGCCTTGAGCACAAAAGCTCAGGGACAGTGTCTAGGCCCTGAGTTCAAGCCTTTGAACTGGCAAAAAAGAAAACATTGAAAATGTCCATAAATGTGGGCGCTAGATGATACACAGGAGTTGATCTGAGGATTAGATTACAGTGCCGAAGGAAAATGGGATGGTGTGGGAATGAATCGAATTAAAATTGAAGTGTCTGGTGGTACATATCTGTAATCCTAACTTCTCTATTGCCAGAGACATGAGTTTAACAAAAGATCCTATCTGAAAAAAAAAAAAAAGAAAAGAAAAGCAAAAGGACTAGGGATGTTGCTAAGCCTAAGCAAGTGACAGGCCCCAAGTTCAACACCCAGGACCAGGAAAGACAGAAAAAACAAAAGGTAAGGAAAGGAACTAGGATAGAGACAGTACCACTACTGCATCTCAATGTGGGATGTCCTCACACAGGAATCACCCCAATGCTACAGCTGATCCGGGCCATCCTGAAAGTCCCTGAAGATCCGACTCAGTGCTTTCTGCTTTTTGCTAACCAGGTTGGTTTGCGCTTTTCGGTGCTGGGACTTCAAAGTTGCTGTATAAACTTGGACAGCAACTTTGTAGGGCTGAAAGATATGGAACTGATGGACAACAAGACTCAGGGCCTGTACTAGTTTCTTGCCCTCAGCAAGGCATAAGACTCTTTATTATAATAAGGAAGAAAGACTACTGAGCATTGGGACATATTTCTTCTCAGGTCCTCAAGGAAAGATGAAAAGATTTAATGCATCTCAGGCTGAACATAGAAATGTAGCTCTTCTTGGTTAAACTATTCTATCCTTATTCCTTTATAATATGTAAATAATAGATGTTCCTTCCATCGCAGCTCCTGAAAGCATAGCATTTGCTCCAATTCTCTTGAACTTTAGCAGGTCATTAGCATTCTTTTTCTCTCTTGGTTGGAAAGTCGTTAGAGCAGAAAACTTATTCCATGTGGATACTTATAAACCTTTGCTTCCCTATTGTATTTTAGACTGAAAAGGACATAATCCTGCGGGAGGACTTAGAAGAGCTGCAGGCCCAATATCCTAGTCGCTTTAAGCTTTGGTTCACTCTGGACCATCCTCCAAAAGGTATCTTCCCCATTCCTGGGCCTCCCAATATTCCTTCATTATCCAAATCAAGGCCTTGCCCTTCTGAGTTCTGGTTTCATGGAAACCAACCTTCCCTGACTCTGCCACAGCCCCAAAGCTGACTGCACACACCCTGCTCTCCTGGTCCCTCTCCTTTCTGTTCCTGCTTACCAGATGGATGGTAAGGATGAATGAATGTAATTGCTGCTACAACCTGAGCCCATCTCAGGAGCCCCTCAGGGCCCTTCCCAATGAGCAGTCTTCATGGTTCCACATTTCATTGCTAACATGGGTCTGGAGCAATGTTTTTCTCTTCTCTTCTGTACTTCAGATTGGGCCTACAGCAAGGGCTTCGTGACTGCTGACATGCTCCGGGAGCACCTACCTCCTCCAGGAGATGATGTGCTGCTGCTGCTCTGTGGGCCACCCCCAATGGTGCAGCTGGCCTGTCATCCAAACTTGGACAAACTTGGCTACTCTCAAAAGATGCGATTCACCTATTGAGCATCTCCAAGCTTCCCTTTTCCCCAAGTCTGCAATTGTTCCCAGTCACTACTCAAACACTGTACACTGTTGATTCTTGTCTTGAGACTGTCAGCCTTGTGTATCTTAATGTGGAGATGCAATTTGGCTGGTACCAAGGAACAATGTTCCTCTAACCACAGAAGAGGGCCAAGGCCGTCAATTCCTGGGAAGCCCCCTGCCAATCGCTCTGTGACAGGAAGGCCCATGGAGTAGCTATTCTCTGAGGTCAGAAATATAACATCACACTGGCTTTGTACCTGTCACGGAAAGAATACATTATACAAAATGTTTCATTTAATATTCAATGCCTACTCAGGGGCAGATTCTGCTTATGTGAGCACAAGTTAAATGGGCTTAACAGAGGTAGACTTTAAACCTAGTAGAAACTCCAGACTTCAGACTTCAGACTCAGAACTCCAGACTTCAGAGAAAGGAGTCTGAAATATAGATTCATCTGTCTCAGCCCATGCCTGTGCTAGAAGAAATGGCTGTGTACAATCTAAGACTGCTGCTTGTATAAGAAGACTCTGGCTGCTCAAATAAACGGGGCTGAGGCCTTAATGTGGTCCCCATGGGGCTTGTTGTGTCTGGGGTCCTTGTTTCCAAATGCTTGTGGACTTTGGGAGGGAAGGCCTCCCAACACAGAGTCTCCTAGAGCTTCCAAAGAGCCTTTGAGCAATTGTGCCCTGAGCTGAAATGTGAGCTGCCACCAGACCCGGGTTCATCTCCACAGCTGTTTCAGCCAGTCAGAGCTCAACTCCCTGGAGGCTTTTGTGGTGGGGGAAGGAGGATGCAGGTTGAAGGGGATGACTTTAGAGCAGAAGTTTCTCTCTCAGTGGTCCCGCGATCTCTTCACTTCACCACTTTCCCTTCTTCTCTTGGCCTTTCCATTATCATATTTATCCTTAAAGTACTTGGCAAATAATTCCAGGAGTTGCCTTTTCAGGAGACAGGGGAGCCTTCCCCTTTAAAAAGTAACCTGACATCACCAGCACAGAGACTTCAATATCTTGTCAGAGTTGACCTTCCCTGGGCTATCTGACATGAGCACCAGACTCTTCTGTGGCAGAGTGACCAGCTCACTCCTTCTCCCAGGATAGGACAAAGGTAGCCTCTTCCTGTTCTTCTTTTCTTTTCTTTTCTTTTCTTTTCTTTTTTGGGGGATCCAGTCGTGGGGCCTGAACCCTGGGCCTGGGCGCTGTCCCTAAGCTCTTCAGCTCAAGGCTAGTGCTCTACCACTTGAGCCACCACTTCTGGCTTTTTTCTTTTTATGTGGTGCTGAGGAATCGAACCCAGGGCCTCATGCATGCAAGGCAAGCACTCTACCACTGAGCCACCTTCCCAGTCCCCTGGTTCTTTTCTAATCTCACAGGGACAAAACTCTGCTTCCAATTCAGAAGGAAGGTCATATTGTCTGTGTGAAGCTATTTCTGTCCTTGGGTCTCCAGAGAAAAGACTTGTGACACCCTCAAAATTCATTCCTCCAGAGAGCAGATTCTTCAGTAAATTCTGCAAGTGGTATTCTATCAATTTTGTGTGAGTTTCTGTGTGTGTGTGGGGGGGGGGACTGAAGATTAAGATAGTGCTCTATCACTTAAGCCAGGCCTCATCCTTCCATCAACATTTCTTAGCAGCTAGTAGATGTGTAGCATGGTGATCTGGAAACCACCTCTCCTTGGCTCTGGAATGAATAAACCTCATCCACTTAGCATACATTTATTAAGGACTTGTCACATGCCAAGCACTTATATAGCTAGGCTATAAGGATACAGTCGTGACCAAAACTGGTGTTAGGACCCCGAAGAACTCAAAGTCCAAGTGATGAATCATCAAACACAGTGTTTGTTTTTTGTTTTTGTTTTTTTTGTCAATCAGGGGCTTGAACTCTGGGCCTGGGCGCTATCGCTAGCTCTTCAGCTCAAGGCTAATGCTCCACCACTTGAGCCACAGCATCACTTCTGGTTTTCTGGTGGTTAGAATCTCACAGACTTTCCTGCCTCAAATGGCTTTGAACCTGGATCCTCAGATCTCAGCCTCCCAAGAAGCTAGGATTACAGGAGTGAGCCACCAAGGCCTGGCTAAGCACAGTGTTCTTAACACGACTTTAGTAATATACAGAAGGTATAAATGGGAAGGGGTTGAGACAGACTCAGAAGAGAAAGAGAAGAAGATGAACATCTGTAAGTTAGCCATGTACCATGTACTATGCAAAGAACTCTCAGTTGTATAATTGAAACTGTATGCTGCTTTTATGAATTGAAATTAAGGATTTGCCAATGGAAATGGAGCTAATTGGTAGCCGGCAAAGTCTGAATCTGAGTGCAGGACTGTTTGACCTAGATCTAAGCATTTTAAACTGCTTAGCTCTTTAGACAGTCAAAGAGTCAAAAGATAACAGAAGAATGTCTAAGCAAATGCCTGAAGGAACATAAAAGGAGGTCATATTTAGAAAACCTGAAGTTCACCGAGGCCCACAAGTCAGAGAGAGATGATGAGTCCTGAGAGTAGGTTAGAGCCAGTTTGCAAAGGACAAGTTGAAGACAGTTGAACTGTGGAAGTTTTGGAGAGTTTTATAGACCAAATAACACATTAATAATGATGGTTGGCTTTTTAGTTCATTTCTTTGGTTTGAGTACTGGGGCTTGAAGTCATCGCCTGGACACTGTCCCTTAGCTTTTCACAAAGCCAGCACTCTGCTATTTGAACCACATCTCCACTTCTCGCTTTTGGTGGTTAATTGGAGATAAGAGTCTCTCGGGCTTGCCTGCCCAGACTGACTTCAAACTATGATCCTCAGATCTCAGCCTCCTGAGTAGCTAAGTAAGCTACCTGTACTAGGCTCATAGGTAAAGTTTTTGAAGCACTGACCATTTGCCAGGCATCATACTAAGCCTGGATGAATTATCTCAATCCTGACAAAAGATGGATGCTACTCAATGGAGTACCACTATTTTTTCTCCTTTTATTATTATTATTTTTGTTTCCAGAAGGGATTCAGTTCAGGAAATCTGTTTAAGATCATAGACTGGCTATGAAAAGGAAACTGACCCACGGTTTTAATCAGCACCTGCAGAATTAACCCCACTGCCCTAATGCGTCAGGAGTTCCTTTCCTGAATCCAGAATAGCATTAGCTGCACACTATCCTCGGGAGAACCAGAAAAGAGTCCCTCAAGTCATCTTGGTCGTGTGATTCAGCCTGTTGGCTCCCAGGCACTCTAGTCATGTGGGAGCCGGAGCTGAAGCAGGGAGTGTTCAAGCAAGACTGGTTAGGAGCAGTTTCACCACTCCTGAGGATAAACAACAGGAGCTGAAACTAAAGCCTTGCTCAGTGCCTGACACACAGTATTCATACCATAAATAATGTTGAGAAAGAAGGGAGGGAGGCACCAAGAGGTTGGAGAGGGGTTGGTAATACTGGAGGCCTTTGTAATACAGGAGATATAAATTATCTCCTGGCCTAGATGACGGAAAGTGAGCATTCCGTCCCAGGGTTCGGTCTAAATCTCCGCAATCCCTTCTCCAACACGCGCCGCTGCCTGCGTCTGGGGAGATGGAGTTTGCAAGTGGATGGTCCAAGGACCAAGCTGCGCAGCGCGAGGGCTGGCGGGAGAGCGGAGGTGGGGCTACCCTGGAAGGGCGGAGTCGAGGGAGTGGGCGTGTCCAGGCGCGGGGTGGAGCCTGCCGTGTGGGCGTGTCGCTGGGCGGAGTCAGATGCGGGGCTCAGGCAACGCGCCTGTGATTGGGACACCCAGAAATGCCTGGGATTGGAGAGGCGAGGTAGAGCCTCGGGAAGGTGACGCGGCTGCGGAGGTGACGCCGTGTGGTCGCGCGCCCCTTCCGGCGGGGAGAGGGCGCTGAAGATCCGGGGCCGCTCGGCCGCAGGCCGCCTCCAGCGCCGCGGGATGTAGCGCGGGGGACCGCGGCCCCCAGCAGAGCCCGCCCGCCCGCCCCGCGGTGAGTTCCGGGGTGAGGTGGTGTGGGTTGAGGCGGGGGCCGGGGGCAGGGGACGCTGGCCGGGGGCAGGGACTGGGACTCGGTCTCTGCGCGCGGAGGCTCGGGCCTGGGCTTGAGGAGGGGCACAGCCACGGGGCAGCCGGCCCCGAGCTCCTCAGGGTGCGGGCTCCCGCGCTGGGCTCGCGGGCTGGGCCTCGCGGCGTCCGGGCGGCCGAGTTGTAAACATTTCCGGCCCCTCCCACTGCGCGCCGCCTCCGGGGTGGCCTCCAGCGTGCAACCCGGGTTGCGGTGGGCTGCTCGGCGGGGCGGTTCCTCCGGCTCCCCGCCGCCCGGGTGAGTGCGCGTCCTCAGCCCCACCGCCTCTGGCCCCGGTCACTCAAGCCGAGCCTGCGCGTGAGGGGTGCGGGTCTGGGTCGTGCAGCGGCCTGGGCGGGGAGCACCGGCCCGGGGGAGGGGGTCGGGGGAGGGGGTCGAGGCTCCGGTGGTCGGCGGGTGAAGCCGGGACAACAGTGCCCCAGCCTTCGTGGGTCGGAGGGGAGGTTGATGGATCTGTGGGCTTCAGCTTAAAAAAACAAAACTAAATGAGCAAAACGTTGATTCCTTGGAGGGAAAACGAAATCTCATCCCCTCAGAACTCGGGGGTTAGTGTTGGACGTGCAGTAGGTCTTCAAGCCTTCCAGGTTTTAAGAAAATAGGTGAGTGTTTTCCCTCTTGATTCTGCCAGGGCGGATTTTAGCTTACACAGGCTCCGATGTCAGCCACGCGACGGGAGGCCGTGGAACTCTTGCTAGATTAACCAGCACATTTCCCTGAAAGTGTCTAGAAGACCGGCTTAGAAAAGCCAGCGGCGAGTAACTAGGCTGCCTGCTTATGTTTGGTAAATCCAATGAAGACGGTATTGGCACCGAAGTGATGATGGGTGTTCTGTTCAGTGTTTTTCGGCTTTGATCGTGGCCAGGCAGGCTGGGGTGGGGGTAGGGGTGCGGCTGGGGTTCCTGGGGTTCTGTAGTGAATGTACACACTGCCAGGAGTTTAGACAGGGTGGTGCTGAGCAGATTGCAGTGTCAGGGTTCCCAGCTGGCAGCCACTAAGCTGCTTTATTCCTGGAGTAGTTTCTTTATAACTGCACTACTGTGTCTGGTGCTTGGAGAGTTAAGTCTCAAGAACGGATGTTATCTGTAAAAGTAGGTCTTAAAGTAGACCTTCACCAAACTATACATAATTGCAGAGTAGACTCTGAAAACCGTGTTCTCAGTGGTCCAGAAAAGACATAACTCCCTGAGATAAGGTTTTTTAAAAAAATGACCACTTTGCCTGCAGAAGAGAATCTCAGAAGAGTATCAGGAGTCACATTAATTCACTAGACTCCCCATTGCTAATGGATAAAATGCACCACCTTAAGTAGGCTTTTAAGCTGTCTTTGATTCCATCACTCTGTCCTCATTTTACCTTTCCAAGATTTCTTCTGGAAAAATGGATTATTCACTAGCCTGGAAGTTGTATTCTTTCATGTCCTGTTTACACCATGAACCTTCCTGAAATGCCTTCCTCCTGCCTCTGCCTACTTAGATCCTTTCTTGGAGTCCTTTCACAAAATTTTCCTGATTACCTAAATG